ACTAGGTGAGTTCTACTAAGTCGCCTTGACAACAAGACCAAGTTGCGACAACGAGGTCAACCCACTTATAGAAAAAAATTTAGTTAAAAACAATCATGCATTTGAAGTAATTTACCATAATTGTATAATATTAACAAATAAAATGAAGGGAAACTTCTTTTTCGGGCAAGATAAACTGTCGAGCTGTTCTACTGGGGACTTAATGTGGCTAAATTGTCATCTCTCGAACAAAGTAAACCAAGTATTAATTCAATGCGAAAATAACATTCTTCCTGATAGTGCCAACTTTTCGCAATCCCCAGACCCTCGCTCCAGATGGAGAGCTTACAAGCTGTTGCGTATATGTGGTCATTATGCAAGTTCATATAAACTAACATTTCGTTAAGCGAGGCTATACAGGCTTTCGAATTAACATTATATCAACAGCCAGATATTTAATGAATGCAAATTTAGGTAGGGATTCAATAATGATAATGCCAAATTCAGCGATGTACTGTACACATATTCCCTCTAATGGCATATTGTACGAACAAACACGTTGCTTATTTATGCATTCGTGCATTAAATTAATTTTAGCAAATAACCACGTTACTCATTTGTAGGAAGGTCTAATTTAAAAAGCACTTATATTCTCTAAATTATTATATTTACTGGTAATCTCGAAACTCTGACTATAAACCTAAATTATTAGTTTGGGGCATGGATGAGTATTTTGGCCAAAGAAACCCAGGATTAATTAACAGAATAGACGGAAAACTATATTTACTGCCGAGTTAGTACTAAACGCAGTGGGAAACAAATTAGGCAGATACATGTTTAGGAAGCCCAAAACTGCAGATTTTCTTCTGGATTTCCTTTCAAACTAAAAATGAGCCGGCGTCTTGCAGATATTAAGCGTCGAAACCAGGATTTTAGGCAATTATGGAGAAAGTCGGTTGAATGTGTTATTATTTTGGAATGTTGGCAATTGGCTGGAGGGAAACATTTACTTGAGGCAAGATAAACGGATGGATCACTTTACTAGGATCTTAATGTTGTTAACCTGTCAACTTTCGACAGAGATGGTTGAATAATTGGATAATAAAAAAATAAAACTTTCCTGAGTAATGTAATATTTTAGAGAATATTTGGATCCTCTCTCTGGATCGGACTGTACAAAAATTATCTGTTCATGTGGAAGTGTTTAGGCTGGTTGTCTGAACATGGAACAGTCGGCAAAGATGTCGAGGTCAAAAACTCTGAATCGACCACAAAATACCCATGAGCATTTATTTCCCATACAGTTCGCCTAGCTTCTTTGTTTTTTATTATTTTACCCGTCGTCAAGTGTGCATAACTTATGCACACACACACACAAACAAGAAGGGGGCCGCAGTACAACAATGAAGTCTACTTAGTTTCGCTGTTAAAAAGTTTTAGTGATCTGGGCTCGACTGCATTTCCAATTTGGTCTGGGTCTCATCTGCACCTCAATCGAGATGTACCATTGAAGTATGCTGGCATTTGGCCACTTGAAGTGCATGCTACAGTTTCGAATTTCATCGGAAGCGTCCATCAAGCTCAGAAGAGGAAGCAATTCAAGACGCAAGACTATGAGAATTTCCGTAAAATTCCTCCATCTTCAACTCATTTCATTGCTAAAACTCAACTATCCGACCTTGGGTCGAAGCTATGAAAACCGCATTTTCTCAACCTGTACGTGTTGTCAGGACGACTAGGCTAGAAACATCTTTTCAGAAGTGCTCTCTTATTGTAGTGGTCATAATTTCCAACTCCGGACCGTGGACTTTGTACACTTCCAGACGCTGAGAATGGCAAGATTCACTGATGATGTCGGTGAAACGTCTGAGAATGTACCAAGTACACAGTCCGACGCTGGGAATTATGATGCCTACAATAGCAGAGGACTTTGGACAAGGTTTGTCTAGCTAAGTCGCCCTGAAAGCTAATAAAAACTGTATTTATTGAGGTTCTAGCAGAGGTTGTATCCGGGCGACTCTTGTGGTTATAAAGGAATTTAATCTTGTAAAATTTGGTCATTTCACCTGCTACAATTTAAATTAAAACAAATCTTAGTCACGTTATTTGGCATAAAATTAGTTAAGGACTAATAGTGGAGTTTTTCTATACTCTCACGATTTCAATGATAATCCTTAATTAATCATAAGCTACGTAGTCTTTATTCCATAACTACTGATAATTTAAAAGTATACTTACATTTAAAACATAATTAAACCACTTCTTGTATTTTGCCGACCTTCATAGCAAATATCACCAGAGAATGTGATATGTAAAAACGTCAGCTCCGCTCATTTAATTGTGTGAAAATGCAACCAGCAATCCTTATTCACCTCAAACGAAATAGGGTGATTACATCTCATATAATTGATTAACTGGTAGTCTCGAAACCCTACTTATCAACGAAAAATATTTATGTACCATCCGGTGAGTTGGCACGACTGTTAGTCCTATGTGCACTCAGCTGCGCCACGGTACTTGCATCTGCCTTTTGTCCTGGTGTCATGGCAACCGGTGTTTGTTTGTCAGCAAACTCTTGAAGTTGGCGCCATTTGATCAGGTCTAACTAGCGTCAGGCCAGTTCAAAGGAAATGGCTCTCAGGCCAGGGCTTGCCTCCCCTGTCATACAGCCTTCCTCCTCCCCCCCCACACGCCCAAATGCACTCATGCATACAAATTCACACCCTCTGGATACCATGTGCGTGTACTTCAACACACACATACACCCATCTACGCATGTAAGACACACACATTCGCAAACATGTTCATTGTGTATGCACCAGTTAGCTTCGACGGCCAGTGCTGCCAAGTTCAAGTCTGGCTATGTCTTTTTGCTATGATTAACGGCTTTCCACATAGCACACTGCACCCACCAGGTCGCATTCCCACTCTTGGTTCACTTGAGGCTCTGACATGAAATACGCTAATGCCTCGCCACACCCCCGGACCGGTCACACGCAGCTGGGCAATGGGCTTTGGGCAGAGGAGCAGGACCGAGTGACAAATGAGGGCGCCAAGACTCGCCCCGGACTCTGATCACTTGTCGGATTGGCCCATTCTGCCAGTTGGTCTTTCGTCCGGTCGTCGTGTCGGTCGTCAAAACTTTCGGTCAGTCCATGATGGGCGGTGAAGTTGGTACCTAGCACACCGACATTGGCCCAACTAGATATCTGAACAGACAGACGGGCAGACTGACTGACTGACGTCTTACAGTGTTTTCGGTAAGTAGTTTTCATGACTGAGTAATGCTTAAATAAGGACATAGTCAGGCTAGATCTGATAAGGGGAGCACTGATAGCTGAAATTTCATACATTCGTGTGAATAGGCCTATTTACCATACCATTGAATTTCACTTTGTTTCCCCCACGGATGTGATACCAAATTTTGAGCATCATGGCGACGCACGTTCACAGGCCAGGTCAGGCCTCGACCAGATCATGCTTATAGTGGGAATCGACGAGGCTACTTATTTGCGATATGAGTAGTTTTATAGACTGTCATTAATTGTTGAAAAGAGCTTAGTCAGACTATGTCGATTAAGACGAGTTAAGAACTGTTATATGCATTTTTCCACAATACTATTAAAAGGTCCCACAATCTCAGTTACTAAGTTCTTGTCGTAAACTACTAATAGCGAAAATGAGTAGCATTGTCTATTGCGAATAAATTTGAGTTTCGAGACGACTCTTGGTTTCTAATTGTTGAGCTCATTTAAATCAAGATTTAAAGAATATAATGAATGTAATGTCCATCACACTCAATTTAGTCAGCCGTCGGTTGGTTTAACTAGAATATTTTTGGTAACACTCTCATCGAGACGTCTCCTTCGATTCCGGTGAAAATTTGTTAAGCTTTGGAGTTGGAAGAAAAATTTTGTTGAAAGGAATTCGTGATGTTGTCTCACCAGAGATCGAAGGATGATTGCCGCACAGAGAAAACTGTTATATTGTACGAAGAAG